CATTATTACTGAACTGAACTCGCAACTTTTAAGGTGAGGTATTGGGGACCCTGAACCCTAAACCCTAAACCCCAAACGCTTTGGGCGCTATACCCTAAACCCTAAACCCTACCCTAACCGTCCCTTCCCACTGCCTGGCACTAGCGCTGCCAAGGCCTCCTGCGGGGCATGGAGACGGAAGGCTTCCTGGCCCTTCTGGGGTGCAGGGTTTACCTGTTTTGAGTTAAGGGTTCCTTTAAAGGGTACTGTAAGGGTTCTGTATGGGATCTATGGGGTTTAGGGTTTACCCGCGGATCCAAAAAGACCTACCGTTCTGGGTGGTTAAACCTGCCAGTTAAGGGGTCATAACCTACTATGTTGTACAGTTTGGGGACACAGATAGGGTTTCGAGCTTTTTTGTTTAACTTTCGCACTGCTGACTCCCTGCCCTATTGGTTTCGAGCTTTAGGGATTTGGGCTTTTGGGTTTAGGGTGTCGGGGTTTGGCCTAGCTGGTTTCAAGGGAACCATGGGGTCCGGCTACTTGAATCTAAAACTGAGAAGAGGGCCCCAAAAAAGGCACATAAGCGAATATGAGGATAGGGATATCCCAATATATACCCCTTATAATGAAGCCCAAAAAGGTAGGAACATCCCTATAACATGCCTATGCTTGCGTCCTTGTGGATTCTCTAGTAGAAGTGTTTTGCGGCTTCGGTTCCAGGACGACAACCTCTGCGGCGGGCCGGAAGCATGGAAAACAAACCCGGACTCTTGATGTTATGCAGAACATGTATTCATGTCTCATCTAAGCTTCATCGGAACCCTGACTAAAAAGCTTTTGTCCAAAGAGTATCGGGCTGTGTGAAACTCCTGGCTGAGGGGCATGCAAGGCTAAGCCTGAGGGTTCATTGCTACTTTCTCTTGAGTATGATGGAGTAGAAAACCAGATTATTGCGAGTCTTGTATCAAACTATCTGCCCAGGGCGTGGACTAGAAGACGCAGTATGCAGACGGCAGATGGAGCTAAAGTTCGGGATTCGAGCTTTTCGAGTTTGGAACTAAGGACAGTCGCCCTTTCGCCCTCTGCAACTGAACCTTCAGAAAGCACTTCAACATTTATTAAGCCGAAACCCTCACCCGGAAACTAAACCCTGAACTAAGAAGGGGCCCCCACCCTGTAATAGTGGTATAATCGGAATATAGTAGGGCCCTAAGATAATCCTTAAAGTTTCTATTACAGGGTGAAGCAGCTTTGAACCCTGAACCTTCTCGATGATGTCCTGCGCGACGGGGGAGTTTTCGGAGGTGTCCGGACTGACCGCATCCTTGCCAGGCAGACCTTGCCAGACCATTTGAGGAAGGTCACAAAGGCTTCGGCACAACTGAATGCTGTACCTTTTGGAATACTTTTGTGATTAGAGTTCTATCGTAATTCTAAGAAACCCAAGTAACAAAAAAGAGGTAATTGCCACGCACATTCCGTGGTCGAAGTAGAGTGCAACATAATCAGATAGTGTAACCCTGAGGATCCAAGATCTTATCTTCATGTAAACCCACAACTGGATGTTAAGACTCCGTAGTTAAACGGGAAAAACCTGTGGTGATGTTCCGGGATGTTCTCGGCTGAGGGATTATTTGGTTGAGTTTCGGGACCAAGGGTTTGGAGTTTCAGGCTGAGGAAGGGATGCATATTCTTAACTCAGATGTGGATCCGCGAGGGTATGTGAAGCAGAACTGCAAACCCTAAACCTGAACGTTGGGGCGTCATTGCATCCCGCTGCCATACCCTACCTAGAATCTCCATGCTTCTTAGATCCTAACCATGAGTTGGGTCGTCTAAACCGTCGTGAGCCCTACAACCTCAACCTTGACCGTCACCCTTCCACCTGAACCCAACCCTGAGCCCTGAACCCTAAACATCCCTACATGCTATTAAGCCCTCTTATTTGGGGGTCCTTATAATAAGGATCCTACTATTTAGGGTACTATATGAGGGTGCCCTCCCTATTTTCGGAAACGGAAACTCCCAAAACCCTAAACACTAAACCCTGATAGAGCCCTTTAATTCAAAGGAACCCGTATAGTACTCTCATGGTAACCCTTTAAAGGAACCCTAAACTACCCCCCCAAATCCGCCTGCTGCTTTGCCCGCATCGCGATGCTTTGGCGACTGTAGCAGCCTACAAGGGATCTATAAGGGTTCCTTTAAGGGATCTATAAGGACTCTTTACCTTTAAGGGATCCAATGGGTAGCATAAAGGTTTGGGTTTGGGGCTTCAGGGGGGGTTACAGTAATCAGAAGCCCAAAAGTTGGAAACCCCGTAGCCTCAATCCTTAACAGTCATGTGTACGAAATCCTGGCGCTATTTGGCCTTAATCCGGTTTCCAACTTTATTGGGTCACTGCTCGGCGTAGCGTGCAACGCGTAGAGAATTATGTAGGACAAGTTTTTCATGTCCTTTTGATCCCTCCAGGGAGCAGCCTGCACAGTAGACTCTTAGAAAAAGTCGAGAAGCAGGACCCTCAACGCTTCAAGCATGATTTCCTTCAAGGTCCACGCAACCTAGACAGCTGATACTTCCACTCAGTCGGGGTCCTCTATGGGTGGTTGTCCGTCCCGGTTTTAGGCCCCCGAAATAGTATGGCACCCCGAAAAAGGTCCCCCCCAAAGGGGAGTTTAATTTAGAGAACTACCCCATGGTAGCTTTGGCCAGAGGTTCCAGATGTACTGCGAAAACGGGAGTAGAGCCCCAGACACCGTGCTTAGCATGGCTTTCAAGCTCTACGGCGAATTCTGTAACCCAAAGGTGCCATGTGCTCATCGAATAGTACGTATACGTAATACTTAACCCTTAAAGTTACTTTTTAGGGACCCCTTTAGGCCCTCAGTGTATACTATATGGGAGTTTCCAAAAATAGGGGACCCAAATATACTACCCTAAATAGTAGGCTCCTTAATATAAGGACCCCAGGTAAGGTATCCCTCATTTTCGAAACCTCCCATATGGTTACATGGAGCCCTCGAGGTAGGGCCTAACTCCAAACCCCCTGGGCCAGTGGCGTCGGATTCTCCGGGGAAGGATAAGAAGAGGTCACAAAGTACCTTTCCGAGCTGCCATGCAGGTGTAGGGTGTAGGGTTTAAGGCTTCAGGTGCAGGGTTTACATGCTTCGGAGAACTCGCCATTTTAGGTACAGCATGGTGCTTACATGGGTCGCATCCTGCTTTAAAGGCACATTGGCTACTCACCCAAGGGTCCAACGGACCCAATAATCAGGTACTCGGTTTTAGGATGGTAGTTATGTAGGTGAGCAAATGATTATTAGGTACTTGGACCCTCGGGGCTCTAGCTAGACCCTAAATCTATGCCCCAAACCCTTACATAGTATGGTTTTGGGCCCAAAAGCCTTAATAGATGACTCCTTAGATCCCTAGGTAAAGCTAGACCTCCTAAAGGGTCAAGAGACTTCGGATAACAGTAAGGCCCTGCTCTTTGGCCTGAAAGTAATCCTGCAGAGGGACTTTGCGGCTCAAGTATATACTATTTGGGCACATGAACGGTTTAGGGTTTAGGGTTTAGGGTTTAGGGTTTAGGGTTTGGGGTTTGGGGTTTAGGGTTTAGGGTTTTGGGTTTAGGGTTTGGGGTTTGGGGTTTAGGGTTTAGGGTTTTGGGTTTAGGGTTTAGGGTTTAGGGACATGAGCCCTAGAATTCCACTTTTGACTGCGACTGCGCATGACTCCTGCGGCTAAGCTTGTGGCTTAGTGCTTGCCTGGAGTATTGTCTACTAAAACCCAGGCCCCAAACCCAAACCCCCAAACCAAAACCCTACAACCCCGGCGCCCTAAATCCTCAATCCTATTATAAACCAAACCCTGAAGCGTTTGAAGAATTACATACATAAATTACACCCAGGTCAATGGACTTTACAGCTCCGAGCCTTGCAAACACCAGATCATAGTGCACTGCGCCCTGAACCATAAACCCTGAACCCTAAAGCCTAAACTCCCCAAACGGTTGTCTCCCTGGCGCACGTGTATCCCGGCCCACTAGGTGCGCTTTGCGGAGGCGCCTGGGGCAGCTGTGGCTGTTTGTCGCCGAGACCCAGAGGGTCCACATACACTACTATTACCCCCCAAATTCCAAAGGACCCAATAATTAGGTACTCGGTTTTCAAATAGTAATTATGTAGCTTAGGATTTTGGAGAGTATATGATGATCAGGTATTTGGACCCTTGGGGTTATGAAATTAGGCCCCATTAAAGACCATAATGGGGATGGTCGTTTAGGGCCTGATTCCACGATAGTAGTGTATATGGATCCTCTGGGGGGAACAATCCTTCAGGGTTTAGGGTTTAGCGGCTTAAACTTTACTAACGAGGGTCGCCAACCTCGGATTGTCGATGTCCATATTCCATACGGAGTGAAGGCCCATTCGCATTAGGTTGTATAGCACTTCGAAGTACCTCGATGTCATTTTGTAAGGGCTATAGATTGACATCTATATCTGTCTTCATCTGGATCTCCATCCCTAAACCCTAAACCCTGAACCCCCTAAACCCCCTAAACCCTAAACCCCTAGTCTTTCGGATTTCGTTGTAGTTTCGGACGAAATCGCAAGTCGGCGTTCGGCCAATTCCGAACTGATTTCTCAGCTGGAGGAGGGGAGGATGGTAAAGAGACAAGGGATCGAGATTGGGTTCCTCTAATTCAAGGGCACTATAATGGGTTTAGGGTTTAGGGTTTGTTAGGCTTTTGAGGCTTTAGCTAACTCAACGGACAGCAGGTCCCTGTCTAATCTGCTTGGATGTCTGACAGTTGCCTTCATTTTCTGCGATGTGACTTATACCCTAAGCTGGTTAAGGATAGGCTTATGGCGGCTTGAGGTTTAGGTCCATGTATCTACATGGGTGGTTGTCATAATTAGGGTCCCTTTTTGGGTCCTTAATATTAACGGACATCAGTCGGTCGTTTGCATGAAGCACTCATTGGTGCACGTGAAACATGAATGGAAACAAGAACCTAGAATTTGTCAAGAACAACAGTCAAGTCATTCACCAGCTCAGTGAGCGCGGTGCGCCAAGATGCAATCACAGAAGCATCACAAGCCACGACGCGCTTACAGCGTCTATGAATCTTGTCAGGATACTTGAGGAAGTTAATGGAAACCCCGCAGAAGTGGCAAGCGGGGACATCCTCCGCCCTAGCAGGGGCAACAAAGTGGCAAAGCTTCTGCGGTGAACAGTCAAGAAAATGAAGATTAGTGTCCAGAATTTCACGCAATTTTTCAAAGAAAGCTTTCTTGGATTTGAAGTGCAACTTAGCCGTGGCGGCGGGAGCAAAGAAGGATCGGATTGTGTTGACATCTTGCTCTTTCCAAAAGGCAAGAGTTCTCTCAGAAACACTACAAAGCGCAGTTTCCGTACCAATGCTTAAGGCAGTTTCTTCCCAAGGTAGGTGTCTGCGCTTGCGGCGACTGCATCTAATCCATTTGCTAGTGAGGGGGTCAAGGGAAATTACATTTTGATGCTGGTCAACCAATTGCAAGAAATCTTGCGTGCTAAGCAAGTGATTCTTGAACTTCAAATTTCTTTCTGCAGCAAGTTCAACATGCTTGCGCACTAGTGCAGCCACCATGCTATTGCTTGTCATTCTTGGCTCCTTGCCGTGGGTGCAGGGAACATGGACATTCATGAGTGGGAAGGTACAAAGCAAAGGCACTGACCCTGTGTACTGCATCCGAAGTCTTGGATTGTACTGAAGGTGCTGGTGAGACCAATCGCGCATGCGCATCATGAAATCGAAATTTCCGCCTTCCTGCAGAAATCTCCAGACCTGTGCGGTAGACCGCTGATCTTCGACCGTGCGTGCAGCATCCTCAAGAGCAAGATTGCCAAGGGATGCAAGAATCAGAGTGACTGCAGCGGCCGCCCTATGTCTGCCCGCAAGGCAATGCACATACACAACATGCGACTCACGAAGGGCACTAAGCATGATTGGCCATGCTTCTTGCCAAGTTTGATCACGTCTAGAGCCGTCACTGATTGGGATATGTACATAGTGAGCGCCGTCTAAATGAAGCCCTTGTCTCTGCTCAGGATGAGTTTCCAAGCAGCAAACTTGCACCGTTGCTCTCGGCATTGCAGCTAAATTTCCTTGCACTGGCAATGGCCCTAGCCACAGCTCTCCACCAATGAACCTTTTCATCAGGGTGGGAGGCTGTCTCTGCAGGCCCGCCATAGCATCGAAGTCTGCAGCCCCTTTCCTGTGGCCTTTAGAAGAGCGCCCACCCTTGCCAGCCTGTGGCGAGACCATCCCCGCCCCAGGACAAGCCTTCGGCAGCGCTGTTGTAGACTGAGGACCAGTTGTCAATGTGGATGTGGCGTGCGCAGATGAACTTAACGTAGCAAACACATCAGAAGGAGCTTCGCGAATCGGCCTCATCGGCGGTGTAGGTGGCTTTTGCCTCCACGACGGTGGCGTTGCTGGTTCAGGAACTGAAGCACTTCTCGGCGGGGTGGCTGGCTCTGGCACCATAGCAGAACCTCCACTACCGCTTGCAGAAGTAGCACTTCTCGGCGGGGTGGCTGGCTCTGGCACCATTGCAGAACCTCCACTACCGCTTGCAGAAGCAGAAGTTGTAAATGCAGCAGCGGCCTCCTTGGCGAACTGCCGGCTAACACGATTCAATTGCCTTTTCGTACGCCTCGGAATCGGCGATCTACTCCTTGTCCTGCCAGAGTCCATTTCCGAAAGCTTGCGGGCTTCCCATTCGTCAAGGACTTGTACCATTTGCTGTATCGTTAATGCCTTGAATTCTTCATCCGTGTCCGCAGCCTGGGAATCGATCTCATTCCTTAAGGAACGAATCCTCCTTTCCAGCGCAATGCGGACTTCAGGCGTTGATTCCATGGTGGCGCAAAAAGTCTGGAAGCAAAGAGTGGCAGTGCTTGGCTTGGGGGGGTCATTCATTTGATTGGCTGTTTCATTTAAATGAAAGGTGAAGTCAAAGAAATCATTCAGAAACGGAAAACCTTGAAAACCACCTACAAGTTCGCAAATCATTGTGCTTTCAGGTGTGTTGGGCATCTGAAGGCAAAGCTTGCAAGACTTGTTAACGTCAGCGGAAGCAACAACTTCTGTGAAGTCAGCTCTCGATATCAAGGCATGCAAGTGATGCTTCAGACCAACAAACCCCGCACGAAACTTACCAATCAAGTTCCTGCAAGTCTGGTCGCAATGCTCTCTCTCACCTACAGACTGCCGGTGTCCTTGAGGACTGTCGTGCTCATCTCGCGTGTTTACGAAATCCTCAAATGCAAGTTGCAACATGTTCCGTGAGTTTTGACTGCTAGAAGGACTTGTGAAAGAAGCTGCCCCATTGCAGCTACTTCCACTTCCACTGTCTTCGCAACCAAACTTACTAGACAGCAAACCATAACCGTAGTCAACACGGTCCTTGCAGGTGAAGCTGCAGCCAGTAGCAGCCAAGTGACCGCCACCACCAGGTTCCTGTCCTCCTGAGAGGTTGCCTTGCAACAATGGCTGGTGGTGCTGATGAGCTTCGCACGTGACGATGTTGCACCCGCTACTTAGGCAATACTGCTCATTAGTCTGAGGCATTACGCAATGGTTACTTGCAAGGAAATCTGCCGCATCACAAAACAGCTCAGCGGTGCAGAATCTGAGATCGTGCTGCAACTCATTCCATGAAGCATTAATGCAGGAAATCTGACTATGCAACCCCACAAAGAGAAGGGACAAACACGCAGCAAAGAGACCAAGCCTACTGCAACGATGAGACATCGAAGTAAAAGTAGTCTCAAACACTTCTTTACATTTATCCTTGATTCCTTTCGGCTTTCCCTTTTCACGGAACACAGAGGCCCAGTCCATCAAACCGCAGTTGGGACCTTGAAGGTTCTGAAACCAAACTTTGGTTTTATCATTAGCCTTACGGTTCCAAGCAACTTCGTGTTGTGTCCTTCTTGCGCATCTTCGCGAGCCCGATGCCTGCTCCCAGTCAGGGTGTGCTTCGAGTGGAGCTGCTGCAAAAGGGTCACAAGAACAAAGAAGTGCGAGCCCATGCTTGGCACTAACAGATTCATAATGATGGTTGTGGAATGCGATAAAGATGGGCCTAGTGTTACTTTCATGTGCAGGCTGGAAAATGGCCATTCCATGGTCAGTCCAGACACAGATACGCCTACGAGAAAAGTCTGCAACAATCTGGAGGGCCAAAGCATTACCCCAGGCATTTCTGCTCTGCAAGTGCCGAATGTGTTCCCGAGTATCTTCATCAGAAGCTGAAGCAAGGGCTTGGTTCAACGCATTGTGCTTGAGAGTGTACCATGTACACCTCATGCCGCTGGCAACAGCTCTCCACATACAGTTGCCATCCCCTTTATAAGGTGAAAACCCTGGCATGTTCACGCATGGAACGAACGAAACACGGACCTTTCGCAGGAGCGCCTCCAGTGTCCTTGTTGCGAGGAAGTTCGACCTCAACATACAAAGTGCCTGTAGGCAGAAGCTGGTGTCCTCGAAGAGTGCAAATCAGCGCGCCGGTTCTTAGAGCGATTCTCCAACATCTCCCTATGGGTGATCTGAGGAGGGAAGTTGTCTTCCAGGGCGTGTGACTACTCTGCATCAACCGCGAGGAGACATCCAAGTAGCTGACAGGTGAAAGCCTTGACAGCCGATGGACCAAAGCAATCCCAATCTCATCTGCAGCAAGACTGACAAGGATGAGAGAAAGGTACAACATAGATGTCGAACGGGCAGCAAGGCTCAGCAATGCGTCACAACGCATCCAAGCATGCATCATGCCACACATCATGACGATGAAGAGTGACAAAAAAGTAAGGACAGGTGTGCGCATTGCTCTTCCAGATCGGTGGAGCAACTGCAACTTTGCGGTGATGTATGTTGCAATGCCGTCACTGACAGCAGCAGCTGAGCACCATACCATTATGGTGCTTACATTTTGCAACCTATGAATTTTTTCAGCAGGAAAGATCACTTGGTCTTTCTGCTGGAATCCATGATGCAGTGAGCACTGCAGATTACTTTGGAAACATCCCCAGGACTCCGCGCTCCTGAAGGTGGCATTACTTCGGCTTTGCGAGGTAAAAACCTCTGATGCACCGATGCTGTCACAGGACTGCCTCACCCTGAGTGTGTCCTGATCGCAAACGTTGACGATTGAATTAACTGCAGGCAGTGGGAAGAGCCCACTACATACGAAATAGCTTGCAACTATCGTAAAGATAGCGAAATTCCAGCAGTCTCTGTAGTCCGAAGCCATAGCTCTAGCACGGGTCAAGCTACTCAGAGAATCGGACTAGCGGCTCAAGCTACGTGAAAGCGCACGCTGGCCTTGAGCCTTTTGGGTCCTTAATATAGGACGTCACCTAATATTTAGGGTACCCAAACAGGAACCATAATTTTGACAACAACCCACATAGCATAGACAATATACGCCTTAAACGGTGTTCCTTTGCAAGAGCATGACGGCAAGAGTGCATACTACACGGCATGGACACTCTGAGAACAACAAATGCTGATCTCGACTCCCCTTGGCACATCCCAACAAACGAAAGTATAGTCCCAAACACCAACAAACGCAGAATGTATTCAAGAGTCTTTTTGTAGCCAGCCTACAAAACCCGAAACCCCGTAAGGACCAAGAGCCTTCATTAGGAACCATAAAGCCTTAAGTCCTAAACTTATAGGATCCTTAAGGGAGGGTGGTTCAAGGGGGGAGGGTATAAGGAATCCTTAGGGGACTGTAAGGGAACCTTAGGGAGTACTAGGGAGAATTAAAAATCACTAGGCTATATACCCCCCTTGGACCCCCCTGCCTTAAGGATACTACAATAAACCGACTAAAGATCCTTAAAGTTAACCTCATGGTATCCTTAAAGGGTTTAGGGTTTAGGGTTTAGGGGGAGCCCGACAGGAACCAAGGATCAAGCCTCGACGCCCTGGGCAACCATACCTATAAATACGTTTAAACCCAATTAAGCTGGAGCTAGGAGTAACCTAGGAATAAACACGGTGCCCTTTCTGGTTTAAATCGGGCTTTTAAGGGAACCTAAACCCTACCCCAATGCTCCTGGACCCTCGTAGTGAGATCCCAAACCTTAGCCCCCAAAGCCCAAACCCTCCCCCAGAAAGCCCATGACCCCCCTAGGGGTACAAAAACGGAATGACGACTTCCTCAGGCGCCTATGCCTGTACTGACTCATGGCAGGAGTCCCAGGCACCTCCTCCATAGAACGCTTGTGGATATGGGAGTTTCCGAGAATAGAGGTACCTTATTTGGGGGTCCTTATACTAAGAGTCGTACTACTAAGGGTACTATTTTAGGGTCCCCCATTTTCGGAAACTCCCATATAGATCCCCTTAAGGATCCCTTTAAGACAACATACTTACTAAGTATATGCTCAGGATCGAGCCTCGTCATCCTATATAAACCCTAAACCCTATATATCTGAACCCTAGACCCTGAAGCCGTATACCGTATACCCTAAGGATACAGGAACCAAGGATCAAGCCTCAACGCCCTGGGCGGCTTTCGCTGGGGAGCAGCCCATTACTTCAAATTTCTTGGAACACTCACGGCTGCACTGAGAGCAGGGGGAGGAATCAGTAGGTTCGACTTTGGGTTCGTAGGGTCTTTCCAGAAAGTTGGAATATGGTTTCAGGGTAGGATACCCTTAAGTTTACCCTAAAGGGTTTAGGGTAATCATATTCCAACTTTCTGGCATTTACTTTAGGGTTTAGTGTTTAGTTGTTTAGGCCTTCGGGTTTAGAGTCCTTGAGTTTTGGGGTTTGGGGTTTAGGGCTGCGCTGGGAGCACGTGGGGGAATGTGCTGTTCTACATATAGGCGCCTTACTATACAGAATCGGACTCGCAGACAAATGCCCACAAACGAAACCACAAAAACATTGGTGTATGCAACTATACATATATGTGCATATATACACACATATTCAGATATGTATGGCCGACAAGGGATATGAGCGCTGAATACTCTAATCCTGTTCTGCGCTCAAAACCGGAGTTTCTGAAGGGCAGAAACTTATGCCAAGCCCCTGAACACAAACCCCGATCCATGAAAACTGGTTGTGGGCCCCGGCTTGGAGTTTTGGGGCAATGAAGGGGTAGGAGCTCGTGGTGCATTACCCTAAGTTTCCGAAGGACCCAATAATCAGGTACTCGGGTTTTAGGATAGTAGTTATGTAGGTTAGGACCTTGGAGAGTATATGATTATTGGATACTTGGACCCTTGGGGTTATAGCAGAATGCAACAAGGAACCCTGAGTAATGCTAGTGCTAATTAGGCCGCGTTACTACTCCCAAAGAGGCCTCATTCAAATCAGCACAAAGCGTCTACAATGGCTCCATATTCGGATTCTCAGGTTCTTATGTGGAGTTTAGGTACGGCCCCCACTCAGTAATCGTTGAATAATATTCATAATATAGATATAGTAGGACCTTAATGGTAGCCCTATTATAGACTCTTACTGTATGGGGGCCGTACCTAATGTGGAGTTGTGTTTAGTTGGGTGTTGGTGACCACGAAGCCCCGAGGATGGCTGAGGGTTGGTGCTTGCAGAAGCTTTAGTCAAAGGGGAAAAGGAGGGACCCTTAATGGGGACCCTTTAAAGGGATCTATAGGGATTCTATAAGGGTATAGGGTTTAGGGTTTAGGGGTTTGGGGGTTTAGGGGGTTTAGGGGAAAAGGAGGGACCCTTAATGGGGACCCCTACCCTATAATGGGCGATATAATGGGTATATAATAGCTATATTAAGGGTATATACCACCACTCTTCCCTAGCCTGGCTACGGAGGGTCGCGAGGAAGTTGGCAGCCATTTTAGTCTTGGTCAGGCCGTCCAAGAGCT